AATGAGCTGTATGTGGCTGCACTTCTCAGCTTTGGAAATACCTCCTTGTGAGCCATTCAGATAGATGGCTGCATGCATGACCTGTGTCAGAATAGTTAGAGAGCTGTAGCATTGTGGACTTTGGTAATGATTTCACTCCAAGGTGGTCTGCATCTGCCAGAGGCCACCCTTCTTCTGTCACCTTTCCTCTTCCCCACTCTGAGCTCAGAGGACTGTTCACACCAGCTAATACAGCCCTTTGCTGCCACACTCAGCAGAGCTGCAACTCTCCCTTGTGTCTCAGCCCCGGCAGATTGCACTTGCTGCTGCGCTTAGAGACCACCTCTTTGCAAATCCAGCAGGGCCTCTGCTTTGTCCTGTTCTTCACAGATGGAAGTGCTTTTCTGCAATGGCAGTCTGCTAATGTCTCCCATGGCCCGGTGCTATCTCTTGCACTGATCCTTTTCCATGAACAAAACAAATCTTTCCTGATCGGGTCACAGCTGCCTGCTGGTTTTGGTGGCCTTGAGGAGTCCTGACATCAAAGCAGAGCGTGGGCAGAAGCGACAGGGTGCTGAAGAGCTCCAAAATTAGCGTTGGCTTTTGTCTGTGTGGGGTCTTCATTTCCTCATCATATCTCAAATCCAGCTCTGTAGGACCATCTGATGGTACTGCAGGGCCATTGTTGCTATGCAGTGAGTATGGTTTGTGTGTGGTGAAGAGCACTGGTTCATTGCAACGAACAGGGTTTTTTTATGGGCAACATTTTCAGCAGTGTCTGAGTCCAGTTCTCAAAAGTGATGTAGGCTTTTAAGAGGCCAAAGCCAAGATTTTCATAAATAAGTAATGATTTGGGCTGCCTCTGTTTTCTGTTACACAAGTTGAGATGTCTAAAAGGAACCTGGTTGTCAGTGGTTGTGGGATTCTGGCATTTTTTCAGAATTGACATGCTTTTAAAATATCTTAAGCTGGGCATTCAGAAATGGAGGCATCAAGAATGATTAGCTACTTCTGAAATCCTTTTTCTTAAAAGTTTGAATGAAAGTTGCTGGGATGTGGGGTCCTAAATGACATGTGAAAAAGTGCTAAAGGTGTATTTTGGAAGTGTGTCTGCCTATCTGTGACTGCAGTTGTCCCCAGAGCACCTGCACCGTTGTACATTAATTTACTCGCAAAAAGCTAACAGGGAAAGGCAAATGTATCACTACTATGCTGAATGGATGGGGGGATTGATGGGCTTTTCCAGGGTATCAGCCTGCCTCTGCTTTGGTTTGGAGGGGAAGAGAGCAACGTTTTTTGCAGGCACCACCAATGAGCTGATCTGTAATCCTGACCTACTGGGGAAAGAAAGACAAGTTTGTATTATAAGTCCTATACATTAGGACCAATATGTTTAAAGATAAGCGTGCACAAGTTAAACATGTTAAAGGGTTTTGTGGGTTTGATTTTATAAACCAGCAAAGCAGTAGGTTTGCAACTGTTATTTCCGCAGCCTAAATTCCTAAAGTACGTGTGATTCTCTTTGCCTCTCCTCTCAGATCTGAACCATGTCCCACCCATCCTGGCTGCCACCCAAGAGTACCAACGAGCCTGTTGGTCATGTTACTGCAAGGATGGAGACCACACACACCTTTGGGACTCCCAGTATCTCGGTGTCCACCCAGCAGACACCAAAGAAGTTTGCGCCTGTTGTTGCCCCCAAGCCAAAGTACAACCCATACAAGCAACCGGGAGGTGATGGTAAGTATTTATTTTTTTAGGAAGGAACCACAACTATCTAATTCAGAGGAACCGACTGCTAACACGGGCTGTTCTTGACTTGCTCATTGTTGATGAGTTTGTGGGAGCCTCCCTGTTTCAGATCATTCAAATCAAGAAGAGTGCGAAGGTATCTCTTACCCTTGCTCTGGCTAGCTACCCTCCCGAGAGGTGCAGGGCTGGGGGAGGACACGAGGACAGATCTTTCTTGTTTTTAACTGGGGACAGATCTATCTTGTTTTTCATTGGAAGCAGATGTCCTATGTCCAAGACTGGTACTCTTCAAGGGGTTTTGCTTTTTTGTCTCTGCTGGTATATCCAAGGAGCTGGTGCTTAAACAACCCTTTTCAGTATTGGTTCTTTCATCACAGCACAATGGGAATCCTTTACAAACGTGGGACTGAGCTGTGGGAGTATGGGTATAATTGGGGTGGTAGGGTGTAAGTTTGGCAGAACGGGTCTAGCAGTGCTTCCTCTCCAGCCTGCTGGTTTGCTTCAGTTTTACCTTCTTTTCCCTCTACTATGGAACACTCTTGAATATGAAATAATTTAATGATATAATTCTGAGGATATTTACATGACCATTGCAATAGCCTCTGGAGCTCTTATGTCAGTAAAACACACGCCTGCCAATCACTGTGTGTTGGCCTTCCTCTCCCTCCTGCTATAAAAGTCCTCCTGTCTTCATGTAGTCGAGCAGCAAAGTGTGGGTGTTGGGTTCCTGGCTTGCGGACACATGGAGGGAGGGAGTTCCTGGCAGCAGGAGCACATGGCTGGGAGCGCCTCTGGGGTTTGCAACTAGAAACCTGCCAGCAGAGCACCTGGGATGCCCCTAGCTGACAGTGGAGAGCGTGTGATGGAGCCTTACTGCAGCAGAAACAAGGTGGAAGCCAAGGATTTTAGGAGAGAGTGGTGTAGCTGTCTCTGGCAGAGTAGTGACTTTTCTATTCCCAGTGATCTACTGTGGTTAGGAATGGGTGGAAAAATCTTCCCCCTCCTCTTCTCCATCCTCTCCCCCCCCCCCCCACCCTCCCCCCCCCCCCCCAAAGAAAAACCTCAGCTGTATTCAAGAAAATTGCCAAACCAGCTTTTGATTTTTGGTTTTGATGCTCTACTTTGTTCCATCACCACTTTTCCCTCTTCTGTGTTGAGTGCAATAAAATAAATGTCATCTGTATCTTTTTTTCCTTTTTCTGCTCTGTCTTTTGAAAGCGTATGCATTTGCAGGAAGACTGCAGAATAATGGAAAGGAGAAATCAGCTGTATTCAAGAAAATTGCCAAACCAGCTTTTGATTTTTGGTTTTGATGCTCTACTTTGTTCCATCACCACTTTTCCCTCTTCTGTGTTGAGTGCAATAAAATAAATGTCATCTGTATCTTTTTTTCCTTTTTCTGCTCTGTCTTTTGAAAGCGTATGCATTTGCAGGAAGACTGCAGAATAATGGAAAGGAGAAAGAAAAACAAAGCAGCATATTAAATCTCGCACTTGAGCGATTTTCTAAAGTCAAGGACATTATGTAGGAAAGTTGGAAAAGTCTGTCGAGTGTTTCGTTTTTTTCCCTCTGCCACTCTAACTTCGGAGAATTCAGAACGAAAAAAGAAAATGTGTTGGAGGGGAAAAGCGAAGTCATATGCACCTGTTCTGTTGCCTTCAGTAACAAAACATTAGCGAGTAAGAGGAAGAGAAAGACATTTGGAATTAAAAAAGTGAAAAATAATCCATTTCTGAAGTGCAACGAAAATGTCACCTTCAAGTCAAGTGGAAATTCTTATTTTTCTCATTCTCTTAAAATTTAAAATAATAATGGAAAATGACACTTTTTTTCTAGGAAAACTGTTGTTGATCAACCACTATTTTTTTTGTGAAAAATGTCAGTGTGCCTTAATTGTCGGTGCTTTAGTGATTGTAGATCCGCTTATATGTGACTGAGGAACATTATCACCTTCTAAAAAAATTCTTTGTTTCTTGGCATTTGGGGAAGGAGACTTTCCCTAAGAGCAGAGCAGACGCTGCAGGCTGAGAAGGGGAGACGAGGCACGCAAACGTTCCTCATGCAACACTGACTACCCAGTCCCGCAAGCAGTTGAGCATCGCCAGGTCTGTTAGAAACCAGGAGACATCGGGAGCTCACAGGAGGCCTTTTTCAGTGCCAATCCCTTGCCTTGTCTGATGCTGGGCTTTTGGAGATCCCATCGTCATCTGACAGGCCTGGAAGAGCTAAGGGTTGGCCAAGACCTGGTCAGGGACTGGCTTAGTGATGTGACAGTGTGCCTGCAGCTTAAGCTAATCCACTTTCAGAAGGTGACACGCTGCTGGTCGGTGTCAGCAGCCGGTGCAAAGCCATTAGCCCAGTCATATATAAGCCTGAGAACACGAGACTTCTGGGATCTGGCAGACAAGGGGGGACAGTGAGAAAATATTTAGCCCAACATGCTTCATTCACTTTCTGTGGCTCCCTTCTCTCCTCCAGGCTCCCTAATTGTTTCTTCAATGACCTCCATTGTTTTTGCAGCAATAATTCAGCCTGGGAGATGGCTTCATGCCCCACTGGTTCCCTGTGCAAAGGGGCACCGCGAGTTGTTTTGCCTAAATTAGTTCTCCGTTGGTCACAGGTTTTTCCCATCTGGTTAGCTGTGAGTCTATAGGTGGAGGAGCTGCAGCATCCCCTTGTTACCCCAGTGTGTTTTCATCCCTCCTGCCCCCCCAGAGGTGCTTTGCTGGAGGCACGTGGGCTTTCCGCCCATGTGTAGCATGCCGCGCAGCGTCCGTCTGCAGGAGATGAGTGCGAGCAGCAGCGCCGCTCCAGGGAACGGCTCTCCCAGGGCTGCGATGGGGCAGAAAGCGGCCGTGCACATCACAGCCTGGCACAGCCTTGCCTGTCTCAGCCGTGTCGCTGGAGTTGGCTCCCTGCTTACCAGAGGTTGCAGGGATGGTATCGGGAATCTCTCTGGGAGACAGGCAAATTCTGTTCCTGGTAATTTCTTCAGCTTGTTGCTTTTAACATTCAGGAAAATGCATCCTCTGGCCTCACATTTCTTTATTATTATTTTGTAGTTACGTTGCTCACACGTAGTGGGTCTGCCTGGCTGATAGCATTTGTGGTTTTATTTCTTGAACGCATTGAAAGCGGAGGGGAAAGACACTGGAGTGACAGGCTGTGGAGCAGGTGCTGTCTGCACGGCGGGGGAATGACTGTACCCCCCTCTCCCTCCCACCAAGACATTTCCTTGGTCTCACCTTGACTTTGATTTTATTTATTTTTTTCCCCAACACCTGCACAAAAATCAGCCAGATTAAAAGCTACTCAACGGAACTTTAAAACAAGTTAGAAATGGTTAAATGATGGGAAAAAAGTGAAATCGCAACAGCCAGCGGTTTATAAACCAGCAGCATTTTAATGTGACCGGAGCACTCAAAGTGTGCATGGTTTAGACCAACTAAGTGAGCAATTTTCCCAGCGCTGCCAGCTCCCCTTCTCGCTATGTGCCACGCTGAGTCACTGCAACTTGTTTCAAACTAGATTTGTCAACTCATCAAAGCAGAGACCACGTCTTGTTGTCACAGGGATCCATTTGGGGGCCCCCAAGTATGACTGCAGTAGTAGTAGCAGTAATAATAATAAATAAGACCACAGCTCTGATTAATGTCCTGCACGGGTCTCTGCTGTGCAGCTGGCTGGAGAGGCAAGCACAGCTGTGTTTTTATAGGTCCTACAAACACCGGACCAGACTTCCACGTGCGGTGGGCTGGGCTGGGTTTCTGGAGGATTTAGTGCTAGCGTTCCCCGCTGTGACAGTTTGCGGGGAATTAACCTTGCCTGATCCTGGGAGGCGTGAGCACCACGGTGCCTGGGACATACAGGTGCCTGACATCTTACACAGCTCTATTTACCCCACGGAGGGAGGAGAGCTGTTTGAGCTTGGGGAAGATGATTTTCTACAAGATAAACAAGCGTGCATGGGGAGGAAGTGTAGCTGCTAATGAGTTAGGCTGGAAATCAAAATTAGGTGTCCAGACATTCGAGCAGTGGCTCTAAAAGAGTGGCACCAGGGCCAAGGGTGGTCCATAGATGGAGCTGGATGCGTTTGCAGTTGGAAAGCATCTTCTGCATGTTGGGAGAAGATGGGTCCCGAGATGGATGAGGCATCATCCAGCCATGGGTCCTGACAGTCCACCTCTCGTATTTGGCTCCTTTCTCTGTGCTCACACATGTTTGGTGCTACCTGCCTCTTCCCTCTGTTCCTCAGCAGACCCCATCCAACAGCATGCATAGCGGGTCTTATCCTCTGTACTGACTGACCAAAAAAATCTCTAAAGCAAAATAATGCCTTCTTCCAAGGAGACAGTATTAATTTTGTTTCCTTTAAAAGCATTGGATGCCCCATCATTGGAAGTGTTCAAGGTCAGGTTGGATGAGGCTTTGAGAGTTGTCCCTGCCCATGGCAGGAGGATTGGACTAGCTGATCTTTGACAAGATGAAGGTCCCTTCCAACCCAAACCATTCTGTGATTCTATGGTTGCCCTCCCTCCTTTCCCTGCCGCTTATTTCTCTCCTGCTTTCCAGCTTTTACACTTAAATTGGTGTTTCAGCATCATCAACAGAGCTGGGGCCGTGGGGTAACGCTGCCACACAGCTGTTCCCGTCTGTGCTGGGCTCAGGAAGATGGGGAGGATTTATAGCTTGCAGATGAAGCAAATTCCTTTTCTCCTCCTTTCACTAGTCCCAAAGAACAGGGCCTCACCCTCCAGGGCAGATGAAGGAGGCGTCTGGCACGGAGCGAGGTTGGTGATGGTTGATCCACCGGCTTTGTGCATGCTGCTGTGGGCCTGCTGGCGGCGGTGCTGGTGCGAGCTTGCACACTCCGTGGCACGGGGAGGAGAGCTGGCAGCCGCTCTGAAATGAGTGCCGCTGTGGTGGGGCAGTCGGGGTGTGCTGGGATGGCAGCATGGGTTGCGAGGCCAAAATCAGGGGCTTCAAAA